GGACAAAGATGTATTTCTGTTGCGCAAAAATCATGATTAATTGTCCTGACTTTTCTCAAAATATTAGACAATTTAATCTCTTCAGGTCTGCTTTTGCTTTCAACTCCAATGTTCAAATGATAGTCCAAATCCCTAATAGCAAATTACCGCATTTGACTTAGAGTCATCAAATGTTTTGAATTACAGCTTGATAAGTGATTAAATCCATCATCAAAAAAGTGTAATCTCTCCGTCGAAAGAGAGGTTCAACACAGAGTGGTTTTTGTAGCACTGTTTTGGAATGACAGATTGATTTAGTATTCACTTTTCCCTTAAGGACCGTCTTTCTGTTGTGCCTCATGTGTTCAGCCTCAATATCTCTGAGCAGCAACTTACAATGGCTCCTTTGAGCAGAAGGTGGGTGAGTTCTGACGCAGCTTTAAAAAGGGAGAAACCTTGATCTCTGTCCAGCTGTTTCAGGGCTGCAGTGGCTTAGCTAAACTTTAAACACAGATATCGTCAACAAATACAAATCTGCACAGCTTGAGTTTGCACAAATATCAATCAGGAGCCACCATAGCAGTATCTCAGTTCCCCAGCAGCAGCCACAGCAGTCGTGGCCCTTGGAGCAACACAGATCAGATGGTGAGGGGGTGTGTGTGTGGGCTGCAGATAGACTGTCCTTGCGACAGCCATGTGTTGGATAGGTCTGACAGAGACACACCTTCTCAGTGTCACTGAGGTCCCACCTCTCTCTGAGGCTGCGGGGGTTTCCGGATCCTTTCTCCCAAACAGGAAGCAATACACCGTTCACAGGCTCCGTTTCTGCTTTCCCTGCTGCTATTCTGGCAAAGTTTCCAGTCTTAGTTCAGAGTTTCTGTTTGACTACAATGTCACATCAATTACTGGCTGAACACAACCCCTCCTATTACTCATTGCTTTCTTTTAAATCCATTTGACTGGTTAGATGAGGGGTTAACATGTCTTCACTCTGCTTGAACAGTAATAGGTTTTATCGTTAATAAATTATTTAAGCATGAGCCAAAATCCAAAGGATGACTGCAGGGTTCGCATTCTGTAGCACTAGCCGCAAGCACAAACAAGCATACGGTTGCAACACACTGCAGCTTAATTTGTTTTAACAAACTCCCACTAAGGAAAAATAACATGTCGGATGCTGTTTGTATTAAAAGTAAGATCACTATGAAAGTCCTAATGTTTTAATCATGAGCCCCTCTCCAAGGCTGGCTAAACCTATTTCTGCCAGCAAGGATCTGACACGTTCTGGGTCAAACCAGGCACATCACTAATTGTCGGGAATTTATACCAATTAGATCCTTCTCCGCCTATTTGAGAAAAAAGTGTATCTCAAGCAGAGTGTAGTTGATGTGGTTGCAGCCTCAGAGAGCGCGCAGCACAGCGTGTAGTCTCACAGTTTAAAAAGTCTGGCTCTGAGTGTTTCCTAGACTCAGAGAGAGGTGGCAGATACAGAAATAGAGGGTGGGCGAGCTTCAGGGATTTACTCCAGGCTGGCAATTTAAAGTTTATACCTAGAAAGCTGTTAACTCCAGGTATGCACAATTCATGACTCTCCACCTCGCTGTGGATTTCATTAATCACCACATCTGTTCGTTTCACACAGTGGCACACCCACGCTCCAATAACAGGCACTTGACAAGCATACCAATATGCCTTTTTGCAGGTCTAACTATAGCAGACAAAAAGAAAAAAAATAACATCTTGGCAGTGTGATAAAAAAACAATTAAACGCAGGTTGGAATAGCTACTGCAATTAGAAACCTGTTGAGTTTTTGCACCATTTTGAGATGTAGAATGTGTAAAAACAACCTTCTTTATCACAGTGAAATCATCGCGCAAGATATACTGCACAGTTGATATTCTTCTCCAGAGGCCTGACAAGAGTAAGACAATTGAAACGAGATAGAAGCCGAATCAATCTGCACACAGCACTCAGCAGTTAAATGTTATTTCTTCCTGCGTCCCACCACAGTCTCATTTGTCTCGAAGAGCGATTACTATTTATTTATTTCAATGAATCCTTATTAGCTTCTGCCAGAGTAATTGTCCTTCTTCCAACGACCTATACTGTGTAACTGATATGGAATTTACACTGAAAAATCACCGCTGTTATATGTAGGACAGAAGAGATAACATAGTTAAATCAAGATGAATGAGGATATCTGCATACACTAAATAGTGTAATGCAGCCAGGTGTGTTATAATAAATATGGAAAAATGTTTTTTAACTAGTTATTAAAAAGTGGATTGTATGGCTCCAAATGAATATTATTTTCAATGTTGTGTTCTATAAAATGTCAGAATGAGTGTGGAAGTGTTTTTGGCATATTCTAAATGCAGTTTTTTTTATGATTTTGAGATATTTAATTTACTTTGATGGAGAAGTAAAGCAACAACAACATATTCATATTTAAGATGCTTGAATCAGACAATTCTTTCTGGTCCTAAAGAATTACTCAAACTTATTTAGATCATAAAATGAGTTAATAGTTGACAAATATTTGATCAAACTTAGGAGCTCTCGTTCTAATTATTTAAGTTAGAATGAAGAAAAGCTAAACTTATTTGAAAATGCTGCCTTTTTCAGTGGAAAGGGAGCAGAACTAGAAGTGACAGCAACCTGTTACACATTTCAGTGAAGGTCCTATAAAGACAGCGAGGGGCTGAACTCGAAACCCTTGTTTTTGGCTTGTTAGAATTTTGTATTCAAAAATAAATAAGGGTCATTTCTTATTGTTGTGATAGTAGTTCAACTTGCTATGTTAAAATGTGTCTGTTTTCTTGCTCAGCATGCAACACATGTCCCTGTCAGATGGTCTAAAAAAGATTTACTAGCAGAAGAAGAAGAATCTAGCAGTATCTCTCTGATGTTTTCAGTTTCATAATGATGTCTACATTAAAGCGTCTTCAGGAATACAGGCTGTCAGAGTCCTTAAGTTCTCTTGTTGCTGGTCAGTGGGGCACAATGTTGATGATGTCTGGGTTCATTTAACTTTTCATTTCCATGGTCTGATTAGACAAATGTCGAACACGGTTCACCTCCTCTTCCCTTAACCCAGCTCCTTGCCTGTTGGAGACAATCTGCTCCAAGGATGCTGATGTGTTGCTGACCCTGACCTCTGACCCCCCCGGGGACAGACCTGCCCTCCCTCTGGAGATAGATATCATGTCCAAACCACGACTTAATCAAAATCTGTGAAGCAAACACAACATTAAGCAACCAAAGCTAGAGTCAACATCTTAGTGATCTTACCACATAACTCAAACACCTCGAGGAGACCTCCTACAGTAACAAGTCTTAGCAGATCCATCCATCATATCTGAAGTACCAATATGTTCCTCTACATGTTGAAACTGGCTCAACTGCAGCCCACATAGACAAGCACCTAGTCACCAAATATGAAGCAAACGTTCAAAATCTTCATTGTAATGAAAGACAAACATACAAACGAGAGGAAAAACACGAGGGGAGGACACAAACTCTTGCTCCATTTACCCACATTGACACTGACTGAAGTCGCTGCTGCAGGTAGTCAAACAGAGAGCTCTCAGAATGTAAAAACACGGTAAACATCGCCGGTTTAACGAGGAATGTATTCACGGCAACGTAAAAGCTAAAAACGCACCTGAAATGGGTGAAAATCAGCCGCGCGCTGCTGTGCGTAACGGACAGGTAACACGGCGTTCTGTGTGACTGAAAAAAAAAAAGGACTTGGAATTTGACGTGTTCTGCGTGAAAATTGAGATGCAAAAGACAGAGCGATGACACGAAGTAATGAGTTCACTCACCTTGATGGCACCGACGGTTAGTCCCGGAGCAGACCGGGCTGGAAAAGGCGAGGCGATGCTTCAGTGTTGCCGCCTGTCACACTGGGAAGGAGGAGTTTGAGTTTACTCCTACAAAACACAACTGGCTGTCAGCGAGCACGGTCCTCTCTGGTCTGGAGAGGAAAAGGGAGCCACCGTCTGGTCACACACTGTGTTACAACATGTCTGCTTCCTTACTGTAGGTGGTCCAGTTTGTCCACAGTTGTTGTACTTGTTAATTTAATTCCTGTTTGAATACAATGCGGAACGTTATTTGTCAAAAACAACCTCACTGATAACTATGATTTGAATGAGTTTCTTACGATTTGAAACATTGTGTGTAATGTAATGTGTCATTGCTTCTTCATAACAAAAGTACCACACTGTGAAAAAAGAATGTAAGTTATGAAATAAAAATGTAAAAAGTTAAAATTATTCTTTATCAAACGTGATCTGTAGGACTTTAATACAATTGTAAATTATAAAATGGTTAGGACACATTATTATCGTCCATTCAATGTTGTTTTGTAATGTATGACAGTTATGTATGAAATACATTTTTATAAACATGTTGCTAAAATGATGAACCTTTTCTTATTGTAGTTACATCTAAGGAAAGAGGATTTATAGAAACATTTCATAAAATAATAGACACATTTTCTACCATTAACAGGAACCAGGAAGTGGTGGAAATCCTGCTGGAAAAGAGCGCACTCTTCCTCTCCTGTCTTCATTTTTGTGCCATAAGTCACCAACACTGTCATTTTACACCAAGAGGTCATTTTTCTCTGTGTTTTTCCTCTTTATTAATCAAACAAGGTCGCCAATTTTAACTGAAAAATAATATCTGTTTAAAACAATGTTGCACTTTTAACATTTCTAATCGTGAACCCTGATATCTTCTATGCAATAATAACAACCCATTATCATGGCTTTATTACGTCATTATATCACTCACATGAGATCATATAACCATTCGACTTCCAGTAACTCTTTTTAGGGAGTCAGGTAAATAATTAATCTGCGTTATGTTTTATGACCCTATCATTTGAAAAAAGGACTTTGAACCCAAGACATGGTTCCCTCAAAGTGTGGGTGTCTTTAAGAAAATGTCTTGAATGTATTTCAGGCAAGAACTGAAGCAGCTTTGCGATATTTTTATTTTGTATCAACTGTTAGTACAATTCAGAAAATAATTTGAAAATATTTCTCAATCATCGCAGACCATTCAGATAACACATATGACCAGAGATGACGCAGGGAGTAAACTGCTGTCCCTTCCATGACAACCAGCTCTGTGTTTTCTTTGCTAACCAAAGGTCACTGCCATAATCAAGAGATTTTATGACCAGCAGTCCACTCCACCCAGGAAGGTAGCTCATACCCAGAGTCTTTAGAGGATCAGATGGTCCTAATCTGCTTCTCAGGCTTCATCCGAGTTTTAGAGACGAGACGCCGGGATTTAGATTGAACTAGTCCAACTGGAATACAGCAATAATGCCTTCCACTACGAAGACTCTGCTTTTCTTGTCCAGTGCTCTGGCTACCTCCCTCTCTGTTTTAGTGTTGGGGTACGGCATGTCAACACAGTGGGCTCAGACCACCATGGAGTGCACAAGAAGTGGAGATAGCTTCACCAATGGGAGTGCTCTGATCACTTGGAAGCTTTTTGTGGGGGATTTGAACAGAGACTATTGCCCCTTGTTCGGAAACAAAGAGACATTTAAAGGTATATATTCTATCCCTTAAACATCTCTCGAATCAAGCCATTCCTATACTTTTGATTTGATTTTCCTTTGTTTTAACTGTCTCTGAGATGTTTGCCTACAATAACAACACTAACAATACATCGAAAGAGTTCCACAGCAGCATGTCTTTCTTGAAGCAGTGCCTCACTTTTTTCTGTCGAAAGTATTCTCAAAGGTCACCTATTATGCAAAGTCCACATTTTCATGTTTGTTATACATGTGTCCCCTCTGTGGAAAGAGGTTCTGAAAGTTTCAAGAAAAAAGATTCGCTCACTTTTTGTACTGATCCATTTATATAAAAACCTGTCTGAAAATGATCTGATCAGATTTTAGCCACTTTATGATGTCATAACGATATTTTGGCTTGTGTAACCATTAGCCAATAACCAACCAAGGTAATAGGGTTTAGAAATACTGAACATTACTGCTAGTCAGATTTACATGCAGTTTGTCATATAGTGCAGTGCATTCAAGGTGTACTTAATTACATTAGCCCAAATTCATGACTTTGTATATTGTGATTTTATGTGTTTTAGTGATTCCTAAATTGGTGGAAACAGGAGAAGTTCCCTCTGTGGTCCTTCACGGTTTGGTGGTGTGCCTGTTGGCCCTGTGTCTGCTGTGTTCCGCCGGCAGCATCCTTATCTCCCTGTACAACAGTGTCAGCAACCCATATGAAACCTACATGGGGCCGATTGGCTTATATGTCTGCAGCTCGCTCAGTGGTAAGTGACACAAAGTCAGAGCAATAAGCATCAAGGAGTTGAGGCCCCTGAGCAAAGTTGGGGAAAGTGATTCATGATTTACTGGTGGTGATGATGCTTACTGTGAGATTTAAAAATGTTGTTTTCATTTTAAAAATACACAGATAATATCATGAAAATAATCCAGTGCCTTGTCAATAATATCCATCTGACTTATTTCTCACTTTCCCAACACCTCATACACAAACAAGTGTAGAAAGAAAGAAAGACAGAAAAGACAAACAAAAAGAACAAAAGATCAAATAGCTACAAATGTAATTCCTCAAATCCGCCATTACACATTATTTACTGTAAAACAGAAACTTGCCCAACAAAACATTGAATACAAATAAGCAGGTAACTAGGAGATAGGGAACATTCATAAAACACACACACACCCAGATAAAAACATGTGTATGTATAGGCCTTTCTACACAAGTATGCAAAAATATACAAATCCGTATATACACTTACAAGAATATACAGATTTTCTATGCATTTTGTTATTGTACATTTATTTTAGCCAACATTTTTGTGTAGAAACATTTCAATTTTATGGAATTCCTATCAGGTATATCATCTTTCTCTCTTTCTCTTGCAGCATGTTTGTCTGTATTGGTCCTCATTCTATTTGCGGTGAACCTGACAGTGACCAGAATGGCAGAGAAGTTGGTAAAGATCTCGACGGGAATTACTCAAGCAGACCTGAGGAACGAGTCGACAGAGATGATGCTCGGATACTACCTTGTCATCCTTTACACAGTGCTCTCGCTGGTAGCCATCGCTGTGATCTACATGTACGACCAGGCAGCCTACACACACCGGAGAGAACAGCAGAGGCCTACAGAGGACGCCCCCAAGGAGATCATGATGTATTAGTGGCCTGCCATGGAGACACATTTCAGTGACATTTATGAAGACTTTCTGGAGTAACTCACTGCAAAACAGAAAATCTACAATACCCAATGACATGTTCTGTGTGTTATGTAAAACAACTAATGAGATTAAGTCTTACTACCAATTATTTAAAAGTATTACATCCAACTTGTAACCTGTGGTTTGAAATGTAATGTTTTAGATTTGCGGGAAAATGGACAAACCCCAACAACTATTGAGATTAGAATTAAATCATATTTGGGGGTTCAATGTAAAAGTTACATTTAAATAATGGTGAGAGAGGTTTAGGAGAAATATGGGAAATAGACACATGGGCTTCACTGATCTCTACTGCCCTCTATCTCTGAGATGATGTCAATGCAGAAATATATCTCGTACCACAATTTTAAGACAATACCTTTCCATGAAACAGGGGGGCTATAGAATAACAGTTTGCATATTTTCTTGTATTTGCCTGTTTAACTATGGGTACATTTTGTAAAATGGTCTGACTTAAGAAAGAATGTAAAGATCGTTTTCATAGGCCTATATCTTAAAATCTTGAGAGCACTGAGACAAGACTCACACTTTGATTCTGAACAAATCCAGACATGGGAGAGACCAGTTGTTCCCAAAAATCTTTTCAGATGTGACCCAACCTGTCAGTATCTTACTGTAAGTATATTTTCAAAACACTAGCTATCCTGTTTCAAATGTCTCAAGTTTATTTGAAATGTGATGTGTTGTACATTTACTGTACCATTTCCACCATCTGGAAATACAGAAGCTGGATGTTTCAACTATTTTTCTAATACTTGCATCTAACTATTCAACTAGTGAGCAATCTGGTCATAACAATAAAGCTGATCATATGTAATAAATGGTTGAATTACCTCCAATTCAAATATTGCCACTCCACTGGTTATCCATTACCTTTATCCAACAATTTCATTCAAATTGTATTCATTTACTTTAACTATGTTTGACTGTTAAGATTAACCATTTATTCATTGGTTTTCACCTTTTTTTTTTTTTACTATTTTCTCACTTTATACCTTATTTTCTCTGACATGTTCTTAAGTCAAAACACAGCATTATAATTAGTTAAAAAATGGGAGCAAATATGTATTTCTTCTTAGTTTCAAGTCATGGCTTCTGTAATTTGGACCTCTCTGCTAACTAGTTTTTTTACACACTTTATCGCAATACTGTTGATTTTCTCTACACTCTTTCCAAGTACTGTATCCCATAGCAACTGCAGAGGTTCCCCATGGATTACTTTACTTACCTTCGTCGATTCATGGCTCATGGTAGCGGCAGTGCTTAGCTCTTTAAACTGAAGTCATGCCTTGCATCTTAACTGTATCCACTTTCACGTGGGATTTACTTGCAAAAGCCTTGAAGAGAGATAAACATAATTACAGATCTGTTTAATTCATTTCAAAAGTCTTTTTATAAATAGAAACACAAATACTGCTGACATATATATTGATCAAAACAAAGCTTGCTGAATGTGTAGAAGCTGAGATAGTTCTTGCTGAGAGTTTATTGTCTCCTGGATCTTCAGACGCTCTCACAGCTGTATATCACATGACTGTGTTGACATGAGAGCAGAGCGAGGTGTCCTCTTACCGTTTCCCGTGTCCCATCACTCAGGGCCTAAAGTCTGTTTGGACATGCCCTTCCCAGCGCCTCTCAGCCCCGCAACGCCTTCTACCTGCCTTCAAAAGAACCACTCTTCCTTCAAGTCTCACACTTCAAGGGACCTGTGGAAGGATGCAGCAATCTGCTTTGTGGTCGTCAGTGTGAATATGTATTACATTTCTGAGGATGCGTGCTTTCTTCAATGAATCAAAAGCATTTCAAACTCCACCACGCCTTCTGAGGTGCAAAAGTTTCAGGACAGAAAAAACACTTTTATTCTACTAAGGCCATTGAACTACAGAAATCAATATTCAAATATTAACATTTATCTTCTCACCAAAGTCCTTCTGTCAAGATATTCATGATGCAGCCTGATGCGTCCCTTCAGCTGTGACGGGGCTCAGTGTGAGGCCGTAGCAGGTTGTATTCTCTGGAGGAGGCCACGTCAAAGCCTGTTTCAGTGCAAAATCGCCTGCTGTGAAATTGATAAGCTCTTCACCAACACAGCATCAAACTGTCAACAGTTAGAGACCATCCTTTTTATTTAACACCCTTTTAAATTTGAAATTGACCTGATCAGACTGCAGTGAGTCACTACAGAAGAGATATTGTGGAACAAGATACTAAAATGGACTTCTAATATAATTATTTAAAGGTATTTGGGAAGTGTATGAAGTTCTCGTCCCTCTTTAGCCAAAATAAGACATAAAAGGCCTCTCATGGGCATGAATACAATTATTTTCATGTTGTCAAAGATCCTCAGATTCTCAACATCAACCTGTTAAACAGTTTCTGGGGGAAACAGTTAACTATCTATTACCGATCTCCTCCTGCGTGCACTGAAGTGTGAAAAGCTGAATTTCTTTTGAGAGATACCTCTCATCGTTTGCTGTGCAAACATTGGTAGAATAAAATCAGAAATGGACAGTAATCTCTTCCTCTCTGACCAACTCTCTGTCTCTGGGCTCACCAGAATGGATAAACCCGGGATTATGCGTGAGCCCTGAGCCCTGACCACTCACTCTGTGTGATAGGATTAAAGCGGAAACTTTTGTACCTGTGAAACCTTATCCTCTCAGGTCCCGCATTACAGAGGCCTGTGAAACAGACACCTCCAGCTGCAGGGCAGGGGGTGCACACATTCAGCCATGTGGAGCCCACTGTGGAGGGGCATTGCGGGCTGGGGGAAGGGGTCTGGTCTTCTTCAACCTTTGGGAGTTCATTTCACATTGAAAATAATGTGACAACTGAGATGTTTTTGGAAGGTGTATATAATTAAGGGGTTTCTACAACATTAGTTCTAACACTTTCACAAACACATTACCACCCTAAATACATCAAGTCCACTGAATACAAGTACACTACATACCTGCTAAGTCAACAGAAACATTCATCAGAGAAAAAGCTTAAGTCTATCAAATGGAAATGTGCAACCATGCCCCAAAGCCTTTTTATTTGATGTCCTTATCACTACTGTGGGACCTTCTCCCTCCTCACAGTAAATAGGTGTATGTCCCTGTTGCATTTTTCTATGATGTAATCAACATTTATGGTGCTGTTTAGTGCCGTGTCTTAGCAACAACTGTGATACAGTACATTACACATTTAACATGCATCACACTTAATGTGTACTGTTGTTAAAGGTTGTTTGTATTTTAAATATTTCCGCACTTTACTGTCCCATATTTTAGTATGTTTTAATGAGAAACTATTCACTCTTGATGACTTGGATGTAAAATATGGTTTTCAAAATCAGGCAAAACATTGCATTTTTCAAAGCAAATATAACCCTGAAAAAACTGAAATAAATAAAAGATGCACTTTTTTATCACTGATTTTTTGATGTGTCTTTAAATTCTTATATTAATACCAAATATGTATTTTAATCTGATCTATTTTTTCGGTCAGTGAATGAGGCAACAATGAATTTCCCTGCAATCTCTTTGCCCCACACCAGTGAACATCCAGGGGCCACAAATTGATATTGTGGAATCGTACAAGTGCCTGGGTGTTCCTCTGAACAATAAACTGGACTGGTCAGACAACTCTGCTGCTCTGTACAAGAAGGGACAGAGCAGAGTGTACCTGAGGAGACTGAGGTCTTTTGGGGTGCAGGAGTCCTTCATACAGACCGTCTATGACTCTGTGGTGGCATCAGTACGGTGGCTGAGAGGTGCAATCGACAATTACAAAGTGTGAAACACTTTAACAAAGCTTGAGACAAATTTACATTTTCTAAAACAAATTTAGATTCTCTTTTTTTGTTTTAGAAAATGTAAATTTGTCGATTGCACCTCTCAGCCACCGTACATCAGTCATCTTTTATGATGCATCTCGGCTGCTGACAGGAAGAGACTGAACAGACTGGTAGAAGGCCAGCTCTGTCCTGGAGAGTCCTCTGGACACTGTGGGGGTGGTGGGAGACAGGAGAATGGCAGCAGAGCTGTCCTCCCTGCTGGACAATGTGTCGTCGTCCCCTGGTAGACCAGCACACTCACACAACAACACAAACTATAACACCTCAGGTTAGCAATACTACTGATGTGCAATATATATACCGTAAATAGCTGTGCAACATATACTTCCACCTTTAATACTTTGCCCTGGCTGCTATCTCAAAACTGTACTGGTAATGGATATGCATTTAGTAAATTGTGTTATTTCTACTTCTATTTTTTATATTTTGTATGCATGCTTCTTAATTATATTAAGCTATATTTGGCTCTTTACTTCCTGTAACAGTGTAAATGTTCACTCTGTTGGACGAATAAATGTATTCTGACTCTGATATGTGTAATATGAAAAATGAACCAGGGAGAGGAAAAGTTAAATGGGAACAGGTATAGGAGAAAAACTGCAATTGATTAGGTGTACCTTGTTGTTCTGGTGAGGTGCGCTCACACTCAACCTGACCATACGGTATTGGAAGGCAGGCAGGTTCCTTACTTATCTCCGTCATTAATCTTAATTTGTCAGAAGGCTGAGGTGAAGGAGGAGGAGGAGGAGGAGGAGGAGGAGGGCTGAGAGGTAATTGCACCCCTGCTGCTCCATTATGGTGTCATTCCACTGTTAACACAAGATAAGATCTTCTCCAAATCACCTGAAGCCAATTCTCCACTTTACCTGGCTGGGACAGAGAGACAGAGAGAAAGACAGAGAGGGTATCCAGCCTGGTTTCTACAGCTCGAGATGGAGACAAACTGAACTAATCAATCTGTGCAGAATCTTTCTGACCAATCTGCAAGTGTGACGGTTTACAGCAGGAGTGATGGATAGAGGGAGGGAGGGCCAAAGACTTTCTCTGCCCCATGCCGCTCGACACCATGTTGATTTATGTGTCCCTGATTGGCAGGTGTGATAGATATCTGCGCGTAGGGACACACAGTTAACCTACTGATACAGCACATGGAGCAACTGAATTGTTGCAATTTGACACAGACACATAAACTGTAAAAATGCTGCATATAATTTTATATATTTTTGTGTTTGTAAAATTAAATCCCATATTTCAGACAAATAGAAACAAATACGATTTAAGAGAGTGTTTAAAAAGAAGATAAGATTTTTGTGAGAAATGGACATGAGAGAGTGAGTACATTTTTTCTATATATATGCTGACATTCAAGTATTTTAAGTGTTATGTTGTCTGTGAATTTGTTTTATATCTCACATTATATATTTGCATATCTTGTACACAGAGCTGACTGTGACCTATTTCTGTCGAGTAATGATGCCTTTAACAAATCATCCTTTTAAATTTAAAATTGGGACATGCAGACATTGCCTATTTCCTGGACAAGATACATAAATGTCCTCAGTTGCTCTGTGAGTTCCTGTAGATATATTTTTCGATAAATAAATGAACAATGCTGTAAGTGGTTGAGGTGTTTGAACAGTGTTAAAAAAAATCAGCAAATGGGAAAAAAGATGTAGGCCTACATTGTTATTCTGCACTGAGATTTTAACAGTACATGTGGCAGAACTACACTTTGAGACTCGTGAATGAGGCACATTCGAATGCACTTCAGTATGATCCTCAGTAAGTAAACGCATCACTGTTCCTGGCCCTGATGTGCAGCACTGATTCCAACTCCCATCAGTTCAGGGTGTCACATTCAGTTTAGATACTAGCCTCTTAAGCCCCACGGACCCGGTTCTGGGGCCGAAATCGCGTCATTTGCAGGAAACAACGTCTAAGGAACCTTCATATTTAATAAACTATGAATATTTTTTATCTATATCGGGAAAAAACTAATTTAACTGATCTTTTTCATTTTTCCCCCCAAAAAAAACACACAATGCTAACACTGACCCTCTGAATTAGCCCCGAGCGAAAAATGCTAACCTATTACTGCACCGAAAATCACTCCTAGCTCCCTTATTACTTATCCTAGCTGCACATCCAACACATCGTTTATGATCACCTCAACACTGAAAGATACAAACTCGCGACGTTATCAACAAAAACTTACATCAAAACATGTGGCGTTAGGTAGCCTAAAACGCTAACATGGCTTACCTTGGTTTTGTCTGGTTAAAACTGGTCTTCAATGGCATTAAAACGATAAAAACGATGCTGTAGTTAATCCATAGGTTAATATCCAATGTGACTGTGTCCCCTTTGAAATGTTCTGATAATCTATAAGCAATAAAACTGCAATTCCGTTTTCAAATATCAGAGCAGGGATATTCCTACGCTCTGCAGAAGATTGCATGCGCTAAGACGCACCTTTTTTAACACGAGTGTGTGCGGGACGATTTCCCTTTGATTCTATTGGCTCTAACGGTCAGGAAGAGATGTCACATGTCAAAATCGAGCAAGGGGGGCCAGAGATAAGGAAAATCCACCCAAATGGCCCCAGAAGAGGTTTTTTATGCTAAATCTGTCTAAAAATGTCAAATATCACTTGTTTTGATAAAGGCAGGGTACTTATTATATGTTGTACTTTGGATTCCTAAAGCTTATAGTCTACCAACCCATCATCCAAGGTTAGTTTTCACTATAAGTACAAAATATCTTTTGGACGGACACTATAATTTACAGTTTTTTACCATGTTCAATCTGAATTTTCTTTAAAATGAAAAACATCTATATAGATTCTGACTTTTCTACATCCAACTCACAGGTTTATCATTACTTTGAGAAAAAAGATTATGAATTTAACCCTTTTAGAAGGGAAGATATGGTCATTTGTTCTGGGAATGTCATTTTCGAGCCTGAAACCTGAAAAACAGGCTTGGGGCTTAACAGGCTAGCACTGTGCATGAAATTCATATATTTTTTCTTTGACAACACTTAAAGTCACACACAGTCCAGCACCAACCTACATTTCCTCCCAGAAGTGTCGGTTACTCAAGCTTTGCACCAGGTGGCAGCATTCAATAACTAAATCAAACAAACCCCTGTCTGACGCTTGTGATACAAATAGCTGCATTAACTGTAACACAATTATTAATCTGTGTACTTTGTGTTACAAATCAGGACTGAATGTCTATGTCATATAAGCTTGTGTTCTACAGAAAA